TTTTGGTATTGAGAAGGTTCGTTTGAGCATCGTTTGGAGAGCACCGCTTCAGCCCACACCAAAGGCGCCTGTGAGGACAGCGCTCCAAGTGCAGCAGGGTATCCTCAAAGGGTCCAAGAATCTAGGCAACAAACTGAGATAAATGAATGAAGGCAAAGATACGTGTCCCGGGATAATGTTGCAAAATCGAATTTGGGTCGGTCACCAGGACCAGAGGTTTACTCTTCCGAGCTTTCGGACTCATGCTGGAACCCATCTTCAGGGAATTTCTCTCTACTGGAATAGGTGCTGTGGGCTGTTCTGTGAGTCGTGTTTATGCGGTGCCTTCCTATTGGCTGATTGGTGTGTTGATGACTGGCGATTGGCTGTCGTTTCCTTGTGCTGTCAAGCCCTCAACTCCTAAGTATTTGATAGGCTGGTGGTAAATCCTCACCCCTGCTGACTCACGAGGGGCCCGTTTCCCAGGCTTCAATCACTTCTCTGGCTGTTTTTGTCCCTGCTCGCCCAACAATCTTAGTAGCTGCAGAATTGAATGTGTGTCTTTGTTCATTGCAACCTGAGGCTACCAATGAGTTCGGGTTTCCTCATTCGCTCACTTGTGTTCTTGCAATCTGGTGGTTAGCTTCCTCCCCATTTCTCCTACATAGTCACAATCCATGCAGGGATTAGAGAAATGATTTTGCCAGAGCACTCTCTGGATGGCACCGTTAATTGCCCAATACTTCAACGTAGAAGGCAACAAAATGAGTTTCATAGCTAAGTTGGCAACCAGTTCTTCTTTGCTTGGCCTTCATCAAGCAGTGTCAAAATAGCCGCGACTGTATCCAATCAAAGGAAAATCCAATCTTTCTCCAATCCAGGGTTTCCCAACCTCGGCAACTTTAAGACGTGCCGATTTCAACTCCCAGAATTCCCCAGCCAACCATGTCTTCTTATTCAGGTGGGAAAATAATTAAAAATACTGTTTAAAGTGCAAATCCATAAACACCGTTTGCTTTAAAATTTCAAGCTACAATGCTTGGAGGGTATTGGCGAATTAAACGTGTTTCTTACTATTAGAAAAATGTTTACATGTTTATGCTTTCTGATAGAGTTGCGTTCCACCTTTTCTGTTTTTGCAGAAATAGAAATCGCTGGCAACAGTGCCCTGAATTCTACCGCCTTTCAATCTTTTGATCTGAAAAGGCTAGTCCACGCCTCTTGCCAGAAATATTGCTCCTGTTCAAAAGGGATCGAAATGGCGATGCGTAATTCAGCTTTCTTTAAGCAATCAGCCGCAAAAATACTTTGCATTAAAGAAGGCAAAACACAATAGTTCTATTTTCTTTTCTTTCTTTCTTTTTTCTTTTTTGCTCTAGCGTCATCGGTATGCTTTGTGGAGAAGCAAAAAAGAGAGATCTCCTGCCAGGAGGCATTTACATGGTTTAGCTGGGACAGATTAAGAGATCTATCATTTGTGAACTGCTTATGGCTGAGATCCCAGGCATGCTTGGAATTCAACAGTAAATATTTCCAAGTTGATAGACTAGATTTCGGCGAAAATTGCTTTCGGTTTAGAGCAGGGGTGTCCAATCTTGGCAACTTGAAGACCTGTGGACTTCAACTCCCAGAATTCCCCAGCCAGCCATGTTGGCTGGGGAATTCTGGGAGTTGAAGTCCACAGGTCCATGTTGGCTGGCTGGAGAATTCTGGTTGTTGAAGTCCACAGGTCTTCAAGTTGCCAAGGTTGGACACCCCTGGTCTAGAGAATTTCCAGAAATCCTGCCCTGGGACCATAAAACCCCAAGTTATAGTACGGTTATCATTTGCTAAACCTTGAGAGTTTTGGATTTTGGACAATCCACATTATACATAAAACCCTTTGTTGTTAACTAAGAATTCAACCAATTACGGCAAAACATAAATGACTATGGAGATTCTCAGCCATCCAGATCATGGTTGTCCCAAAGATGCTTTTTCAAGAGGCAACTGGACTTTCTGGTTTTTCTTTGAAGACATTTTGCTTCTCATCCAAGAAGCTTCTTCAGCTCCTCTTCTGTTGATCCTCCTTGCTGCTTGATAGCCCCATGAAGTTGTTGTGCAATAACACCCTGACGTTAACCTCTGCAGTGACGTGACACGGATGGCCGTCTGCTTCAGCAAATATGAGTTAATTGTGCAGTTTTTGTCCTCTCTTCAGTTAGGAAATACTTCGAAGACTATGTTGTGGCCTGCCAGCAGCCTGCGTGGATCGTGACTGATCCCGACGATGAGGAGGCTAGTGTGGTGTCACGCCAGTAGCCTGCTCAGCCAGCGCTCACGTCGGACAGCGAGGAGGCTGAAGAGGATGTGGTGCCAGAGGCAGAGACTCAGCCAGGGCCTTCAGAACCTCCAGAGGCTCCTTCGAGTGGAGAGAGCGAAGTGGAGGAGCCTCTCCTCAATGCTCGGGCATGCAGGGCTGCCAAAAGGCAGGAGTGGCTACTCAGGAGGAGGAGGAGGTCTCCTCGAGAGTAAGGCTTGAGGATAATTGGCCACTCCCTTAGCCTATTTAAGTCACACGCGGTTAGTAAGTTTCTTGCTGGAAACAACTTGTAATTATCATCAGAGCATTTTTGGAAAAGTCTTATCGTATTTTGTTTTCTGGGCTGGCTGCCAACCTTTGCCGGACTTTGGTTTATTCTTGCTACTTAATAAATTTGATAAGGACCGTTGGGGTGTGTCAATATCCTCAGGAATCCGGAGCTGGGGCAGAACAGACTAGAGACCAGTGGTGAAATGTAAAATTTGTTACTACCGGTTCTGTGGACTTGGCTTGATGGGGGCAGGGGTGTGTGTAATGTGAGTGGGTGGGCATGGCCAACTTTTTTTTTCTTTTACTTTTTTAAAGCATTTTTTAACAACCTATTCGGGCGAAAGAATTGTAAAAAAAAATGCTTTTAAAAGTAAAAAAAAGGCTCTGACCATCACAGCTATGTCGTGCGATCGTCAGAGCCTTTTTTTAACCTTTTAAAAGTGGGAAGTAACGGGCATGTGGGCGGAGCCTCGTGCCGCCATTGCTACCGGTTCTCCGAGCCACCTGCTACAATCGCTACCGGATCACTTGATCCGGTCCAAACCGGGAGCATTTCACCCCTGCTAGAGACTTATTTGAGTGGAAGAAGCTTTTTTTTATTATTTTATTTTATTTTGATTTATATGCCGCCCTTCTCCGGAGACTCAGGGCAACTTACAATGCGTTAAGCAATAGCCTTCCTACTTTTGTATATTTATACAAAGTCTGCTTATTGCCCCCACAAACTGGGTCCTCATCTTACCTACCTTAGAAAGGATGGAAGGCTGAGTCAACCTTGAGCCTGGTGAGATTTGAACTCTCAGTAATTGCAGGCAGCTGGAAGCTAAATACTACCTAAGCTTCTTGGATGAGAAGCGAGACATCTTCCAAGGAAAACCAGAAAGTCCAGTTGCCCCATGAAAAAAAATCACCTTTAGGACTCCATAACATAACTGGCACGGATATTACCTTTGTGCAGGGGTGGGCAACTGTGGCCCTTTTACAACCTGTGGACTTCAACTCCCAGAATTCCTGAGGAATTCCCCTGCCTTTGTGTCTGAGGTGCTTGTCCACAGTGGAACCAGCAAAGATGTCAGGTTAAAAAAAAAAAAAAACCTTGCTACTGGCTATTGGTAGGGTATCCACCTTTGCCGTCGAGGATCAATTTTTCATTAGTGGCCCGAGATACTTTGCAACCTTCCTTGAATTCGTGGCGGGAGCTATATAAATCATTCTGATATTCCTGCCCGCCGACACTCACCAGAGCAAAACCCCCGGGGTCTCCGCTAATTGCTTACTAAATTACGTAAGGGAGCCCGTTGAAAGAAAGGCCGGGGTTTGAGTTAAAACCAGATTGGCACTTTGGACGGGTTGCTGATGAGAACACCTAGCGACAATGCTTAGGTAGTCAGAGAGCAGCCGCTGCCTGGGAATGGCTGAACTGCTAATTAGACTGAAGAAAATAAAACTGTCACTGCAGGGTAAAAGCAGCTAAAAGAAAACAAACACTAATTGCCGTTTCATTGTTAAATAAAGTACTGTAAAGCAGAATGGAAGGTGGGAGCAGGAGGGTAAATAACCATCTGCGGATCTGCTTAGGGTTTGTTCTAAATAAGCGAAGCCAGAATAATCATCCCTAGTGAGGAAAACAGATCAATACTGCAAAGGCAGGCGTAAGTATCGTCTTGAAATAGTTAATATAGGCTTGCTTAAAACAGGCATTTATCTCGTTCCCTAGCTTGCGTGGTTATCAATAGCCTTGTGCCGTGATGGCGAACCTATGGCACACGTAGCCATATTAGTGGGCATGCCAGCTCAGTTCTGGTGCGCATGCATGCACCGGCCAGCTGATTTTCAGGCCTTCTGGGCCCACCAGAGGTAGGGAAACACGCTGTTTCCTGCCTCCGGAGGGCCTGGGGTAGGGTGGGGAAGGCCCGTTTTTCTTTCTCACCTGGCTCCAGATCCTCTCTATGCATCTGGGGAGGGCAAAAACAGCTTTCCCCACTCCCTCAGAGGCCCTCCGGAGGCCTGAAATGGCCCATTTCCCAACTCCTAGAGAGGCTCTGGAGGCTGGGGACAGCAAAAAAGTCACTTCCTGTCCCACCGGGAGTTGGGAAATGGGGCCGTTTCAGGCCTCTGGAGGGCCTCCGAGGGAGTGGGGAAGGCTGTTTTCACCCTCCCCAGATGCATGGAAAGCATCTGGAGCCAGGTGAGAAAGAAAAACAGACCTACCTGGCCATGGCAGGCCAGGAGCGGAGGGGAGGGATGGTTGCGCATGTATGCGCAGGGCGGGGCACATAGAATTATGGGTGTGGGCACGTACTTGCACACGAACCTCCCCCACCCCCATCCTGGCACACGATGGCAAAAAGGTTAGCCATCACTGGCCTTGCGCTTCAAATACAAGTTGCATTATGAAATGAAATGTGCGTTTGGTCACATCTGAAACAATAATTGGATGGTTACTTACATTCTGCTGCTCGGTATAATCTTGTGCCCATCTCTGAACCACGTCACTTGCGGTTTGGGGTAACTGGGGATGTGGGGGACGTTTAGGACAGCAGCTTGTCCTTCAGGGACGGTTTTCCGCTGGTTCTCATCCCGGAAACTTCCCATGTCTGCAAAGAAAAATTTGGACTAAGAACTCCAGAAGTTTCTTCTCCCATGCCATGCCATATCATACCACACCACTGTTTTCAGGGTCATCATGAATATGATAAACATTAAACTTTATAACAGTCGATGGCACGGCTGTCATTAAGCAGCAAGCCATAACAGACTTTGTGTTACCGCTGAGGAGGGCCGCTTTGTGAGTGTGTGCTGAGGCATGAGACAAAGCCCAGTGACTCTACGACACCTGAGAAATCTGTCGGCTCTGCTGCTTGTTTGCATTTCACGGGACGGGCAATTGATTGACACAGATTCACAGAAGGCAAACGTCTGTCATGTAACGTTACAATGCAGACAAGTAGTCTGAAGGCGCATGAACATCTAATAGCTCGAGATGACAACTTTACAAAAGTCCTTCTACTTGGAACCTGGGCTGGCGAGAATCTTCTTTACCCGAAAAAAAAGCTGAACTCAAACCAAGTACAATTCCGAAGAAAAGAGAAGCAGGGCCACCAACTATATGAAATAAAGGGAGCAGCCTAACGTGGATTAAAAAATACCAAAGCAGACATAAAGTAAAGGGTTATGGTTAATAGGAGAGCTTCTGATCGGGATATTTAAGTGCAAAAATGGATCTGGATGAGCAAAATATGTGGGATGTATCTAGAGAGGCGGCGTGTTCACTAGAAGGAGGCAGAATTCAGAGAGGGGGGAAAAGGCCAGTTACATACAGACACAGTTAAATAAGCCACACAACTCTTTGATACGATGCCAGGAGCACTCAGAGAATGAACTGTGCCCCGAACAATTGGCAGAAGAGCTTTTTTTCAATATTATGTGTCATACTATCCCTGCTGTGAACTCTTATTTCATAAGTCCTCGTGACCAACTTCTGCAAGTTTCCAAATATTTCCCAAAACAAACAGATATAGGACAACGGATCAAATAACAAAATATTTTTTTCAATTTGGAATAACTGGGCAAGAGAGTTTTTGGCTACAGACACCATTCAACTAACTGCCTTCCAACAGATGGGCCTGGAATTGAGCAGGTACCCACCGAAGAAGAGAAAATGGCAGAATTAAGATTTGGGGTATGGGTTGTATTTCCCGTTTCATGTTGGGAAAAAAACATAGATCAGGGGGTCCCCAAACTTGGCAGCTTTAAGACTTGTGGACTTCAACTCCCAGAAGTCCACAAGTCTTAAAGCTGCCAAGTTTGAAGACCTCTGCCATAGATGCTAGGCCTGTTTTATTCTGAAGAAATTTACTTGTGTGGAAATGTTGTGTCCGAAGTTCAAAGAGGTTTCAGGGCCATGATTGATGAGCTGCATGAAGGAAAGGAAAGTGATGGACTCTTTAAAAAAAAAAATACTGCCCAGTATTCCAATTTCAAAATGAGTCATTATTTCAACTGGGGTTTTTATTGGCAATGTGATTTTTCTTCTGGATCTAAAATGGCCCATATATTTTATTTTTTTTTGTTTTCCATTGTAATAAGATTACCTACTTAAACAGAAGTATTGAACCGTGCAAGTACTTCTAATTAACCTTGTTGTTGCACGATCAGTTTAGCCTTCAGAATTCAGACACTTTCTAATTAAGGATTGCCAACCAAGTCCTGTGGACCTCTTTTGCGTTAATTTGCAACTCAGCTAATTATTTTTTTTCAAGCGTAAGAAATTTTGCCTTACGAGGAAAGTTATCCCAGGCTTAAAGTTTCTAATGCCTTCCTAGTTTTATTATGATTTTAAAGAATCGTTCCGTACGTATAATTCATTGTACGACGTAAGCTTTACATAACAATTGATTGTAAAACAATTACTTTGGGGTTGTATCATCTAATTTAGGAAAATGGTCTTTTCATTTTTTTGTTTATGAAACATAAAATCCCTGCTATAAAAGAGGCATTCCAATTAATATCGTACTATGCTGAGTGTAGCATTGCCACTAAAAATATATCAGCTGGGTTCTTGCCCTCCCAAATGTAGGCCAGAGAATAATTAAACTAGCACTGAATCAAGGGGAAAATGACAGAGGCAGAAGGATCAAGCCCCTTCAACCATTCGAATACCAACAATGAAAACACACTGAACCTCTGACGATGGTTGCAACTTTAAGGCTGCTGCTAATTTCCTCAATAAGTAGATTGGACTATGGAATGTTTGGTGCTGCCTGTTGGTTGTTGTGTTGTAGACATTTCATTGCCCAACTATCGAGCATCATCAGTGCTAAAATCAGTGCAAATCCCAAGCCCATCGAGCACTGATGATGTTACCTACTTGGGTAATGAAACATCTGCAACACATCAACCAAGTTTAGAAAGCACTGAGGACGCCACATTGCTGTTCCTGGCTTCGGACTGGCTAGCAATCCTCAAATGTCTTTGTTTTTTGTTTTCCCAGGATCTTCTCCATCCCAAATACCTCGCAATAAAGTTATTAACGTTATAGGATTACGAACACAAGTGAAGCCATTCCTCTTCAGAGATGTCCTATTTCCAAACTGGCATATTCATTACCTAAAGGTTCCCCTTGCACATATGTGCTAGTCGTTCCCGACTCTAGGGGGCGGTGCTCATCTCCGTTTCAAAGCAGAAGAGCCAGACGCTGAAGACGTCTCCGTGGTCACGTGGCCGGCATGACTCAATGCCAAAGGCGCACGGAACGCTGTTCCCTTCCCACCAAAGGTGGTCCCTATTTTTCTACTTGCCTTTTTTACCTGCTTTCGAACTGCTAGGTTGGCAGAAGCTGGGACAAGTCACGGGAGCTCACCCCATTACGCGGCACCAGGGATTCGAACCTCTGAACTGCTGACCTTTTGATCAACAAGCTCAGCATCTTAGCCGCTGAGCCACCGCATCCCTACTTCATTACTTACGTAAGGGTTATTCTTAAAATGCATTTGCTGCCATAATTCAACAATTAACACCGACTTTATAATTAGCAAGTCTCCTAATTTGGTTTGTTTTTTACAATTCTTAACAGCACATATGAAGACAGTTAAATCTTGGTGACGATTCGTCTTGAAGATTAAAAGAAGGAGAATTTCCTTTGATCCGATTACCAAGAAACCTATTCGTTGCGGCTAATTCTGCACACCAGCATTTGACTGAGATGAAAGGTGAAAGAAACCAGGTTTCCGAAGAATGGAAGGAAGGCCTATATAATAATTTGGATTTATATTATCTATTCTAGACCTTTCCAGAGAGCCGAGAACCTCTCGAGCAACGTTTTGGCACCCACACCTACCTGAATAATTTAAAAACAAACATGTCACATTCTCACCCGCTTTTTAACAAGCCGCCTCTTGTTGCCGTTTTTGCAAAACAAACATTAAATAGCAGTTAGCCGGAAGAGTTAATGGCCGCGTGGCCAATTTGCACAGCATTACGCTATTATTCTGGATGCTAATATTAAACAGGAGGAAAAATAAATTCAGCACATTTTCCCCTCATGATACCTCTCTTCTCTGTTTTAATCACTTCCTTGTAAATGGTCATGTCTAATAAAGAATTCTGTTCACCCACTTCATCTTCCTGCCATTTATCAAATGACAGCCACCGTTGCTGACCTTCCAGTTAAGTGCTCGGAGGAACAATAATTAAAGTCTCAGGCAAAGACGTGTCATGTATAAACAAATAGTGAAACTTCATCCCGTTTGGGGAGATTTCAATTTGGCCTCTCCGTTTAATAGCTCGGTGAAATGGAAGGACTACTCAGAGCTTCCGGTAATCAAAGGTGATGAGTAAAACAGATTAGAAGGTGGACATGACACACTTGGAAGTTAGGTTTCCACGTTTTTCCCAACGTGGGAAAAATTGCCGTTCTTTCGCAATCCACAAAAGCAGACGCCCTCCAAACTTTTTAGGGCTTGGGTTGTCGAGAAGATTCACAATGTGAATCAATGTGTGTGTGTGTGTGTTTTTTTAATGTAGCCTCCTTTAAAAGTGAACACGATGAGTTGCACGCTGCATTGAGCAATTCAGGAAAGAGAGATTTAACTGTTATAATTAATGGCTGTTCATCAGCTTCTTCTGTAATAAGGTGACATGAGCGTGGGGGAATTGCTTTAAGTGAGGAAGGCAGCAAAAATCAGATAAATATAATCAGATAAAGACAATCAATCTTTCAGATGGTAGAAGTTATCAATCTTGACCTTTGGCTGCCTTTAGAAATAAGTTCTAGCTTATCTTTTAAAAAATGAGTAGGTAGGTAGGTTACGGAGATCCTTACCTTGTATTGGAGGTCTAAAGAATAGAGTAGAGTAGAGTAGAGTAGAGTAGAGTAGAGTAGATAGAATAGAATAGAATAGAATAGAATAGAATAGAATAGAATAGAACAGAAAATTGAAATGAAGAGTAGAGTAGAGTAGAGTAGAGTAGAGTAGAGTAGAGTAGAGTAGAATAGATAGAATAGAATAGAATAGAATAGAATAGAATAGAATAGAATAGAATAGAATAGAATAGACAGAATATTGGAATGAAGAATAGAGTAGAGTAGAGTAGAGTAGAGTAGAGTAGAGTAGAGAGAGGAAGAGAAGAGAAAAGAGAAGAGAAGAGAATATTGGAATGAGAATAGAGAGGAGGAGGAGAGGAGAGGAGAGGAGAGGAGAGGAGAGGAGAAGGAGAGGAGAAGAGAGAGAAGAGAAGAGAAAGAGAAGAGAGAAGAGAAGAGAAGAGAAGAGAAGAGAAGAGAAAGAGAAGAGAATATTGGAATGAAGAATAGAGTAGAGTAGAGTAGAGTAGAGTAGAGTAGAGTAGAGTAGAGAAGAGAAGAGAAGAGAAGAGAGAAGAGAAGAGAAGAGAAGAGAATATTGGAATGAAGAATAGAGAGGAGAGGAGAGGAGAGGAGAGGGAGAGAGGAGGAGGAGAGGAGAGGAGAGGAGAGGAGAAGAGAAGAGAAGAGAGAGTATATTGGTAAATGAAGATGAAGAGTAGAGTAGAGTAGAGTAGAGTAGAGTAGAGTAGAGTAGAGAATAGAATAGAGAATAGAATAGAATAGAATAGAATAGAATAGAATAGAATAGAATAGAATAGAATAGAATAGAATAGAATAGAATAGAAGGATCTTGGAAGTCCTTTTTGCAGTCACGTGCCAAAAGCAGGGGGAAGGCAGGGGGGTCGCGGGTGCACGTGCCCACACCCATAATTCAATGTGTCCTGCCCCCTGCACATGCACACACAACCCCCCATGCTCCCTCCGCTTTTGGCATGTGATGGCCCAGTGGGCCCAGTAGGCCTGTTTTCTGCCCTCCCCAGGCTCCAGAGGCTTTCTTGGAGCCTGGGGAGGGTGAAAACAGCCTTCCCCACCCCCCCCGGAGGCCCTCCAGAGGCCAGAAATGGCCCGTTTTCCAACTTCCGGTGGGTCCAGAAGGCCAAAAAATTAGCTGGCTGGTGCGCATATGCATGCTGGTGCTCAGCTAGGACCCACAGATATGGCTCCGCATGCAACCTGTGGTACATGTGGCCATAGGTTCACCATCATAGTATAGGGTTTCCTGCCTGAGCAGGGGGTTGGACTAGAAGACCTCCAAGGTCCCTTCCAACTCTGTTATTCTATTCTATTCTATTCTATTCTACTCTACTCTACTCTACTCTACTCTACTCTACTCTACTCTACTCTACTCTGTTCTGTTCTATTCTCTTCTCTTCTCTCCTCTCCTCTCCTCTCCTCTCCTCTCCTCTCCTCTCCTCTCCTCTCCTCTCCTCTCCTCTCTCCTCTCCTCTCCTCTCCTCTCCTTCTTCATTCCAATATTCTCTTCCTTCCTTCCCTTCTCTTCTCTACTCTACTCTACTCTACTCTACTCTACTCTCTCCTCTCCTCTCCTCTCTCCTCTCCTCTCCTCTCCTCTCCATTCTTCATTCCATTCTCTTCCCTTCCCTTCCCTTCTCTACTCTACTCTACTCTACTCTACTCTACTCTACTCTACTCTACTCTACTCTACTCTACTCTACTCTACTCTACTCTACTCTACTCTACTCTACTTATTCTTCATTCCAATATTCTCTTCTCTTCTCTTCTCTTCCCTACTCTACTCTACTCTACTCTACTCTACTCTACTCTACTCTACTCTATTCTTCATTCCAATATTCTGTTCTATTCTATTCTATTCTATTCTATTCTATTCTATTCTATTCTGTTCTGTTCTGTTCTGTTCTGTTCTATTCTATTCTATTCTATTCTATTCTATTCTTTAGATCTCCAATACAAGGTAAGGATCTCTCTAACATATTTACCTACTCATTTTTTTAAAAGATAAGTTAGGACTTATTTCTAAAGGCAGTCAAAGGTCAAAATTGATAGCTTCTACCATCTGAATTTTGGCCGTGCCAGTTCTCTAGACTTGGATTTAAGAATTTGGCCTGGGTAGAGCATTCAAAGAACCGAAACGTTTTCAGAGATGTTGCATGAGAAATGTAAAGCTCGCCTCTCATTTTTAAGCATCCTCTGTATGAATGCCTGACAGCATGCTCCCCCCTTCGTTCTAATGGCGCCTCATTGGTAAACCGGAGGTGGAACAATTGTCTGCATTATTTATTGTATAACTTTGGCCAGGTAAAGCTATTCTTTCTGTGATTAAAATATATAGATATGCTGCAGAATCTGGAGAGGCCTAGCCTTCATCTTGGCAAAGAACGTAAAATGGGAAGAACCCAACAGGCTAAACAAGGCAATGCTTTTGCATCCTGCATAACTTGTGCACGGTCACTCATGCCCTAGTTACCTCCCGTATGGACTACTGTAATGCTCTCTACATGGGGCTCCCCTTGAAAAGCACCCGGAGGCTCCAACTGGTCCAGAACGTAGCCGCGCGGGTGATTATGGGCGCAGCTCGTTACGCCCATGTAACACCTCTCCTACGCGAGCTGCACTGGCTCCCAGTGGTCTTCCGGGTGCGATTCAAGGTGTTAGTTATCACCTTTAAAGCGCTCCATGGCTTAGGACCCGGGGACCGTCTTTTGCCACCAATAGCCTCCCACCGACCAGTTCGTTCTCACAGGGAAGGACTACTCAGGGTACCGTCAGTCAAATTATGTCGACTGGCGACTCCCAGGGGGAGGGCCTTCTCTGTGGGGGCTCCAACCCTTTGGAATGAACTGCCCCCGGAGATACGGAATATCCCTGATCTCTGTGCTTTCCGCCGTGCCCTCAAGACCCTGATGTTCCAACAGGCGGGGCTAAACATACTAACATGTGAATGATTCTTTAAATGTTATCTAATTCTGGGTTTTATTTGATTGACCAAACTAAGTAATAATTTTGAGTCCTACGGGAGAAAGGCGGTATAGAAATATAATAAATAAATAAATAACTGGGCTGTGTTTAGAAAGTGAGGAAGAAATGTCATTCAGACGTACATGCCACCTGAACCTCCGATTTTCTTTGCAAGAGAGCCCCCATTCTGTTCCTCACAACGCACTGATAAAAACCTCCATCCGATTTTTTCAAGGAAGGAATGACGTATCTGCAAGACAAAGGAGGGAAACCTTCATTAAAAGATACTCTTGGTTTTAAGGTTGCTTTCTCGGAAACTGTTTAAAGCTAATGGGGAAGAATAGCTCAGCTGTACAAAACTTTCCATGATTCGAATGCAGAGAATTGCATTCCCACCCCATGGCAATGGTCATAAGTATGAGCCAGTTGCCAAGCATCCGAATTTTGATCAGGTGACCGCAGGGGTGCTGCAACCATCGTAAGTGTGAAAAACGGTCATAAATAAGTTTTTTCAGTGCCATTGTAACTTTGAACGGTCGCTAAATGAAGTCGAGGACTGCCTGCAATCCACAACAACAGGCCTATTTCTGTGTCACCAATTCCCATCGAGATGCTACGGAGGATAATATTTTGGATTACCGTGTTTCCCCAAAAATAAGACCGAGTCTTATATTAATTTTTCCTCCAAAAGACGCATTAGGGCTTATTTTCTGGTTAGGTCTTATTTTGGGGGAAATATAGTACTAAATGCATCCATCTGGCTGACAATCTTAACTGGGGCTTATTCTGGGGGGTAGGGCTTATATTACGAGCATCCTGAAAGATCACACTAGGGCTTATTTTCCGGCTGGGTCTTACTTTCGGGGAAACAGGGTATGGTTGGAAAACTCAGCCTAAATTCCGCACGCAGCCGTGTAGCTGACTGGGTGACATTGGGAGAGGCATTTACTCTCAGATCCATCGTATCCTACAAAGTTGTTGATAAAGATAACATGGGGGAAATCACATATGCTACATTGATTTCTTTGGGGGGGGAGGGGGAAAGGCATGATAAAAGCAAGAAACAAAATACCAGTTTTCTTGCAACATTATTGTCTACCCTGAATGTAAATCTCGTTTTGGAAATGCCAAGATAAGATATATCGCTTTTCATCTTTCCAGCACAGCTTACATATTAATAAATTGTTCTACATTACACAAAACTACACATGAATCATGCAGAGGTTGGATAGTCTGGATTATCAAACACATCATATATTGATGACAGATCATGATTAATAATGTGAACAGCAATGCATAACTGCGTAAAAAAAAAAACTTAGTTATTCTCTTTTTCAGCCTTAACCCTCAAGCTTGCTATATAAATTATGGAAGTATTCATTAGCAATGAATAATTTACTTTGTATTAACTAAAATGCATTATAAACTAAAGCTTGGGGATCATTTTTATTACTTTTTGGGCCGGAGTGCAAATCTTCTTCTACTCTAATCAATTATTACTTTGTCGCTGATTGTAACTGGCAGGGATTATAAAGCAGCATTTGAACCATATTGTAGCTACTTGGCAAAAAGAAAAATGAAAAAGATACAACAGTGAGGTATTCTGTGATGCTGCTTGCCAACAAGACAAGATCAGAGCCAAATTTAGCCAAACCGTCTTATGCCAAAGGCAAACAGTCTGTAATAATTTCATCCCAATGAATAAATGCAATTCCCTGAACGTAAACCGTATCTTGGATCGTTGCACACAATTACAAATAAATAATAGAACTTTTAATATTCATAGTAGCGTATTTATTCAAATAAATATTGTAAACTTGGATTAGTTTTGCGTGGGCACTTTGTTTGACAAAATAAATGTTTCAAGGATAGGAAGCAAATTAATCAAGGACTAAGAGTGTGTTGGGAAACCTTCTGTGTTTCATTGGGAACAAACGAACCTATATATTATGCGTTAGCAAAACTTAAATATCTTAATTATTAGTTTAAAAGGGAGCGTTTTTCAGCTAATCCCTGTAGCTGCAACATAGCACAGTACCAAGTGCAGCTGGCTTTAGAATTATAAATGTTATACTATTTCATATTAATTGTAGGTATTATTAAAAATGAGCAAGAACCTGTTATGCATATACAATGCCTAATCTGGCTAAGGCCAAAAATTGTTTAGTCAAGTGAAAAACAGCTCTGACTTCTCATTAAACCTTTGGTAATTTCAGTGTTTCTGAGACCTGCTTTGCATTGTTTTTTTATACGTATCCCTCTTTTCCACTGCACATATGACTGTGTGGGGTATTTTTTTTTTCTATTACTGGCAAACCCACAGCACAGCTTATCCCATTGATCAAATGAACAGCTGTGTTGGCTCATGTCTGCTTTCTTCCATGATTAATCAAAATACCCTGACCTTAAATAGCTTTTAAATTTCAATTCCATACACAGAAAACATTCAGCCACTTAAAAAAACAATGAGGGCAAAATGAGAGAAGCATAAATAATGAGGATTTATTTGATGGAGTAGATCAGGGGTGGTCCAACCTTGGCAACCTTAAGACTTGTGGATTTCAACTCCCAGAATTCCCCATCCAGGGTGTGCTGGCTGGGGAATTTTAGGAAGTAAAGTCCACGGGTCTTAAAGTTGCCAAGATTGGACACTTCTGGTTTAGGTTGTTGCTTAGATTCTAGCATTTCTTCGGGATGAGACCAGAAGGTACGAGGCCCTTGTGAGATCAGTGACCATGGATTGATTCACTTCATGCATATGTTGAGACATAAAAAGGACCAGTTGCTCCTTCTAAAGGAACACCTAAAATGCTGACATGTGAACAGCTCATTCGTCTTTGTCACAGCTTGCTCACAAGAGCGGAAAGCTGAAATGCTTTTGGGACGGACTTGGGGAACCGTCTAAGTGTATATCATAGAAGCAATGAGTAACCAGAAGAGAGAGATTAATGAAGAGATATACCATATTTTTCGGAGTATAAGACGCTCTGGACTATAAGACGCATTTACCTTTTTTGGTGAGGAAAACAAGAAAAAGAAATCTGCCTCTGCCTCCCAGCAATTTTGCCTTGTTGCAGCAAACAGCAAACAGCCTGCTTTACTTTCATTTTCGTTTTCGGCATAGCTTGATTAGCACTAGAAAAAAAAAATCTGCTCCCAGCAATTTACCTCCTTGCAGCAAGCAGCAGAGGCCCCCGCAAAACAGCTGAGAGCAAAACAGCTGAGAGTCGGGAGGCCGATCCAATCAACTTGTGCTAATTAGGCTGTGCTGAAGCTGAAAGGAGCTGTTTCTTCTTGCTGCTTGCTGCAAGGAGGTAACTGCTGGGAGGCAGAAGCCAAAGGGTGGGGGCCAGTGGGTGGGCAGGGCTACATTTGGTGTATAAGATGCACCTAAATTTTCACCCCCTTATACTCTGAAAAATACAGTAGTTGGATCAGGTCAATGTGATGGAGACATACTATACTGAGAAACACTGCAGACACCTGAAGTTTTCAAGAAGAGACTGGACAGCCATTTGTTCAGAAGCATATGGGATCTCCTGCTTGGACTAGAAAATGTCCAAGGTCTCTTCCACCCCTATTATTCTATGTTCTAGACGTCATTAAGGTTCTACATTCTCAAATAACTTACCTATATTCCCTGGAGAACTCTGTGATTTCCATGTCGTTATGCAGCCACTTATATTCCAAAGGCCAGCTTCCTTCTGCCAAGCAGGTAAGAATAAGGCGGTTTCCTTCCAGGTGCGTCTGAGGCAAACTGGGTTCCGTCTTGAAATAGGGAGCTACATCATCTGCAAGGAAACATATCATTTTAAGATATTTTTGACGCCTTATGTAAGGGCCTTGGTGGCGCAGCAGACTAAAGTGCTGTTAAGTAGCACCAGCTGCCTGCAATTACTGTAAGTTCAAATCTCACCAGGCTCAAGGTTGACTCAGCCTTCCATCCTTCCGAGGTAGGTAAAATGAGGACCCGGATTGTGGGGGCAATAAGCTGACTTTGTATAAAAAAGAACATCCACAATATATACAATATATACACGGGCAAACAATTGATACAAACTCAAGGTAAACTGCTCCAAACTCGATTGCAGAAAATACAACAGAAAATACGACTTCAGCAACAGAGTGGTCAACACCTGGAATGCTCTACCCAACTCCATTGTTACATCCTCTAACCCCCACAGCTTCAACCTTAAACTGTCTACCGTGGACCTCACCCCATTCCTAAGAGGTCCGTAAAGGGGACGTACATAAGCGCACCAGCGTGCCTACCGACCCTGACTTACTGTCCCCATTTATATGTATTTCCTTTTTTTTTTCATGCTTATGTTCATACTTATACTTGCTACCTTGTACATGTTTGACAAACAAATAAAATAAAATAATAAAAAAATAATCCACAAGCTCATTTAGCATGATGTATGAACCAATATTCACCCAGCACTGCAGACTGCAGGAGAAAGCTTGGGTTTTCAGGACCATGGAGAGCAACCTTAGAGCTAAAATTTAAGTCAATGGCTGCTCCAGTTCTCTTCAATCCAAATCTCTTAAAATCAAGCTCAGAGAGCACCCAGGATCCCAAAGTGAAGTGTTCCCTCACTTGAAAACACTGGGGGAAGAAGCATTGTGGGACAAATCAACAAATGTTTCTTCTGTGCACGCAGAGCACGTGCCCATGAAGCCAATTGTTGAGATAAGATAGCCAAAGGAGAATGGATCAACCCTCCCTCGAATCTTGACCAAAGTAGACCATCACAGAGGATGAAGACTGAGTGTTGTTGTTTTTTTAATTTGATTTATATGCTGCCCTTCTCCGGAGACTCAGGGCGGCTTATAGTGCGTTAAGCAATAGCCTTCATACTTTTGTATATTTATACAAAGTCAGCTTATTGCCCCCACAAACTGGGTCCTCAATTTACCTACCTTAGAAAGGATTGAAGGCTGAATCAACCTCGAACCTTGGAGAGTTTCGAACCAGCAGAAATTGCAGGCAGCTGTGTTAATAACAGGGTGCACTAAACCACTGTACTATCAAGGCTCTTGTCCTAGTCCCTTGAAACATAGCAACGCTACACTGCACACAAGTACCACACACCACAAGAACGGAAGACTATGCAGAATTAAATTCAATCAGCTACATTACGCTTAATACGAGAACCCAGCTTCTAAGCTGCCCCCAGACCAATCGTTGGTCACCCTCAAGAAGACAAGACGGGAACACATCAACACCTGCTTCTCTTTGAAGAGACAGCAAAAACCAAGTTGCCCTTTAGAACAATTCCTGCAAGCAACTGTAGAAATGTGTGTGAGAGAGATGGAGCAGCCGAAATTTATAAGTGCTTTCTTTGAAATAAAACATAGGAGACAGCAATAAATAGGGGAAAGGAGTTCCTCAAGGATGGGTACATTCTGTAATAGATTCTAGTTCCGCTGAAGCCTGTGGCAAAAAAATTGCACTGATATCAGAGAATCTCAGTAACATATTTTTTGTAAAACGGCCATTTTTTTTTTTTAACCAAACACGCAAAATATGTTTCCAAACTACGGAAGACAAATCGGAAGAGTTCTGGATAATTATGAACGCTTTGCATGTTTCAGACCATAAACAAGCAAGGAAAGCTTCCCTCTGGGGTTTTCATCTATCAATTAAAATTGCCACCATGTGACAAAGGCAGCTGTGGATTAAAATTTACTAATCCACTTTCTTTTCCTTGGGAACTATTGAGCTGAGCCATCCAGTGAAGCCATGTCTGAAAACTAGTTACCCTAATTAGCTCTTTGTACCCATTTTCATTTGTTTACAATCGACACGCAAATTAACAGGGAAATAATGCGACACTGGGGAACGTCCTCGTTGCTTCTCTCTGGCATAGCCGTGTCTCCATTTTCTTTACTGGGCTCTACCCAATCATTTGTATCTGCTTAAAAAGTGGCGGCTAACAGTTACGAGCGCTGGCCTCTGTACAGCCAATGAATAATAAAATAGATGCTAAATGATTGTCTGCAGATTAAAAACATCATTCTTCGATTAAGTGGGCCCGCAAATTAATTCTCTACAAGTGAAGATGCCAGGGTCCCCAGGACTTGACTTGAGAATCTGATGCTGGACATTAGAAGCTGGATGTTTGTTTATTTTTTATTAACTTTGTGTTGCTCTGAGTCTTAAGAAAGAAATTGCTTTTTATACAACAGCGTTTGTTTGTTTGGCAAGCAGTGTGGGGTCTCAGCTAGACAGGCCTACTGCATATGTTAAGAACTGTAAAAGCAAATCCGGGCATCAGTTCTCCCTCTTTCCAAACTCAAGGAAACTGAAGCAAGCAAGATCATGAATGTCCTACGTCAGGGGTCGGCAACCTTAAACACTCAAAGAGCCACAAAGGTCCTAACCGGAGGCCCCCGTTCAATTCTGGAGCCAACCGGAAGTCCGGTTCCCCCATCATAGTCTCCTCCTAGTGTGGCGTCCTTTTTCCTCTGCTGACCAGAAGTCCGGTTCCCTCACCATAGAGTCTCCTCCTAGTGCGACATCCTTTTTCCTCTGCTGACCAGAAGTCTGGTTCTCTCACCATAGAGTCTCCTCCTAGTGTGGCGTCCTTTTTCCTCTGCTGACCAGAAGTCCGGTTCCCTCACCATAGAGTCTCCTCCTAGTGTGGCGTCCTTTTTCCTCTGCTGACCAGAAGTCTGGTTCTCTCACCATAGAGTCTCCTCCTAGTGTGGCGTCCTTTTTCCTCTGCTGACCAGAAGTCTGGTTCTCTCACCATAGAGTCTCCTCCTAGTGTGGCGTCCTTTTTCCTCTGCTGACCAGAAGTCCGGTTCCCTCACCATAGAGTCTCCTCCTAGTGTGGCGTCCTTTTTCCTCTGCTGACCAGAAGTCGGTTCCCTCACCATAGAGTCTCCTCCTAGTGCAACATTCTTTTTCCTCTGCTGACCAGAAGTCCGGTTCCCTCACCATAGAGTCTCCTCCTAGTGTGGCATCCTTTTTCCTCTGCTGATCAGAAGTCCGGTTCCCTCACCATAGAGTCTCCTCCTAGTGCGGCATCCTTTTTCCTTCTGCTGACCAGAAGTCTGGTTCCCTCACCATAGAGTCTCCTCCTAGCGGGGCATCCTTTCTCCTCTACCTGTCCTAACCAAAAGCCCTATCAATTGTGGAGCCGACCAGCAACAGGGAGCCGCAGCAGAGGGATTGAAAGAGCCACATGCGGCTCCAGAGCCACAGGTTGCTGACCCCTGTCCTACGTTCAAGTTTGATGATCCACGACCTTGGTCTTTCACTATCGGACAACTTCTCAACTGGAACACATCAGAGCAATAATCTAAACCCGAAGTACCTTGGTCTCCCAGGAACTGTATTTCTTATCGTGCCTGAGAATTCAACAGCTGTAGGTTGCTGAATAAATGCTTATGAGCCACATTAAAGATCTATTCAGGCAAGATTATAAGAAAATCATCAAACTCGGGTATTTTTAGAACTAAAAATTAGCAGATCAGAACATTCTGAAAAGCATGATTTATAAAACAGCATGATTTATAAAACAGGCCAATGTTCTGCAAGATTTATTTGAGCCCATTAAAAAAAAAAGACATTCGTTCAACTTTTTGTTTACATATTATGCAAATATCTTTCATTGAGCTAAATAAGCAGTGCAGAATAACGTTTGTTTGAAACAAAATTAAAATATAATCCTAGACAAAACCTCATTGTAACTAAGGATTCCAATGATGCAAATTTGCATCATTCTTTCCACATTTTTTTTTTGCTTGATTTGATGTTTAGAGTTGATCACGTAGCTGCCTTTTTTCCAAACAATGTTCCCATATATTTACACCTACAGCTAAAATGGACAGACATTAGCTACCAGAAGAGCTTCTGAAAGTACATTGTTGTTTTTTTATTTTTCCCAAATGGGAAATACAAGAGATGAAATGTTACACTATTGAGCAACAGGGGACACACCAATTATGATCTTGCAGTGGCTTCGGAAGCACAACAATTCCACAAATCCGTCCTGTGCATGACTTAGCCAAAGCTCTCCATGAGCTTTGTGCAATTCTTGCTTTACTGTTTTCCCTTTTGGATATAAAAGACCAAGCCAAGAGACAGCTTGAAGTTATATGATCATGTCCTATGCAAAATATAGTAAACACTTTCCAAATCATCCAGGAAACTAAAACTTAATTCCATAACACAGTTTCCTTCAAAAAAACCCTCTAAACATTTTTTTTCCCCTGGTCTGGATACAAAGGGAAGTTATAACGCACAAAAGGTTCTGGGCTGATTTGTACACGTGCCAAGCAATTGTATTAGGCTGCCAGGGGCTCTCATAAGTATTTCAGTTTATGAAGCTGATACTCAGCTGCTCATGACAACTCATCTCTCATCTGTTTGCTACATCACAACTACTGCAGAGTTGCAACAAACTCATTCTTTGAACCTGCATCCCAAATCTGTGGAACTCTCTAGAATGAGCTTTGTTCTTTAGCTAAAGTTTCTTAAACTTCAGGGCTTATAAAAACAGGAGCAAATTGCTACAACATGCAGAAGAAAGCAGTCAAAAGATGCATTTTTCATCTGGATTTTCCACCCTGGTCTCACCACGATGCCACCAAGTAGACAGAATAGAATAGAATAGAATTATTTATTGGCCAAGGGTGATTGGACACAAGGAATTTGTCTTTGGTGCATATGCTCTCAGTGTACATAAGAAGACAAGATACATTCGTCAAGAATCATAAGGGACGATACTTAATGATAGTCAAAGGGTACAGATAAGCAATCAAATCATACTAGGAGACAATATCAATATAAATCGTAAGGATACAAGCAACAAAGTGACAGTCATGTAGTCATAAGTGGGAGGAGATAGGTGATAGGAATGATAAGATTAATAGTAATGCAGACTTAGTAACTAGTTTGACAATGTTGAGGGAATTATTTGTTTAGCTGAGTGATGGCACTCGGGAAAAAAACTGTCCTTGTGTCTAGTTGTTCTGGTGTGCAGTGCTCTATAGCGTCGTTTTGGGGGTAGGAGTTGAGACAGTTTATGTCCAGGATACGAGGGGTCTGTAGATATTTTCACAGTCCTTTTTTTGACTCGTGCAGTATGCAGGTCCTCAATGGAAGGCAGGTTGGTAGCCATGGTTTTTTCTGCAGTTCTAATTATCCTCTGAAGTCTGTGTCTGTCTTGTTGGGTTGCAGAGCCAAACCAGACAGTTAGAGAGGTGCAGATGACAGACTCAATAGTTCCTCTATAGAAGACTCTCTGGAACTAACAAGGTTTTCTTCCTCCTAGGTTTATCAGTTCATCTGAAGGTCTTCTTTTAACAGGCATTCCTGCAGATGAGATTCAAAGTCCTCTGAACATATACCCAAAGTGAAAAAGACGGTATGACTTACAGTATTCAAATTTATGAGCTGTAAAGTACACTGTAACTCACACACCCCTAAGGATGTTCAGGAAAGCAGCAGTAGCTCAAGATAGCTAACACCAATATATTCTAAATGGTAATTGCGGTATCCTATTTACCAAAACAGATGATGGTCCTGAATTTTCGACAAATTGTCCAAAAGATAGAGGGGAAATATATATATTTTATGCCTCTATTACCGTATGCTCAGCAAATCTAAAACGACTCTCTTATTTTTATAGATAATTTTAGCGGGGAGAAGCCAGTCTGCATTTCAGGGTGAATGGATGTAATAAAATCCATCAGAGGCTAAATGTGACTCAGACAATCACAGCAGTCAGACGAAACCTAGGAGTTGTGAGAAGGGAAAACTCTGCTGGAAGGAGGCCTTCGTTTGTATGCTCTGACAGGATTCCCCCTGCAATCCAGACAATCCCCAATAATGGAGAGATCAAAGTAATCTCCACATCTAAGAAAAGAGCTCAGAAACCTTTAGATGAAGCCCGGTATCTTTATCACATCTATGCAGAAGTCACCTTCCAGAATCACAGTCTAATAATCTCATTTTCCTTTTCACATTGATTTATGGATTCTGGCAAAGGTAGGGCCGGAGGAATTTAGTAATACATCATCAGGCATTTAGACCTTAGCAGAATGATGAGATGCAGTAACATTAAAAAAAGAAGAAGGGGAAAAAAAATGGAAGGTTTTATTTAGTCTCTCAGGATGGTCCCGGGTAGATTTTCTTCTCATTGGGGAATCTGGACTCTAGACATTGCTTACAGGCCTGTAAATGCAAGGTTAATTGCCTGCAACCCATGAAATCTTCTATTTATCTCATTTATGAATTAGATTTTGAAACAGGGCAGGACTTGCTTAGGTTATCAACAGAGTGTTTTGCCAATGGAGCTTTGCGTTTGAAAACTGTGCAGTAAGCAAAGAATATATATATATACTTTTATCGTCTTCTAGCTTTATTGAGTCCCGAGATAACTCTTGATCTCTCTCGTCGGGATTGCTATTTGTGTTTTAATAAAGAAGGGCAAGTGTGAAGAATAAAAACTTGTGCATCTTGCTCTACACACCATTGCTTCCGAAACAAACTGAATGAATCAGAGGCAAAATTTGAAACGTGGAAAAACAGGAGCAGTTTTCCTCTAACTGAAAAGTCCCTCTCCCTGCCAATGATCAACAACAGCGAAGAAGCCAACATAGGGTTTAATTATTCCCTTTATGGAAGACGCAATGTATATTATTACAAAATTACAAGCTAATATGCTATCCGTTCATTTGGCACCGTTTCAGTCATGCTGTTAATTAAAAGCTGGAACCTCTCAAAACCACTTTTGCCTCGCCTGTGTTACTCTGAAAGCGAAGGGAAGAAAAATGCAATTTGGAGATCCTTTGATAAGGTTGGACACGGCTGTCCAAAAATCCTTCAATAAACAGACCTTAAAGAGATTGGCACATGATGCCAGGTCTTCCCGAGGGATTAGTTGCCGAAGTGTAGGGCCCAACCAGAGAGCAGAGGGGTCTTTCAATTATTAAGGGGCATGGATAAATTATACCGCTAGACTGATTCACTTCACCATAACAGAAATGTTTTTAATGAAAAGGGCAGGCTAAGCTTTGCATGCAGAATAGCTGAGCTATTATCGTTGTTGTCAAATATTTATTGCAAAAGGTACTACGGGTGGAACTTGACTTATGACCACAATTGAGCCCCCACATATATGTTGCTAAGGGAGAAATTTTGTTAACTGAGCTTTGCCCCGTTTTACGACCTTAATTGCCCTAATTGTTAAGTGAATCACTGCAGTTCTTAAGTTACTACACAGTTGTTCAGTGAATCTGGCTTCCCCGTTGAGTTTGCTTGCCGGAAGGTCGCAAGAGGGGATCATGTGACCCTGGGACACTTCAACCGTCATAAATACGAGTCGGTTGTCAAGCATCTGAATGTAAATCCCGTGACCACGGGGATGTGGCAACGGTTTTATGAGTCACTTTTTTAAACGCTGGTGTAACTTGGAACAGTGACTAAACAAATTGTTGTACGTCAAGGACTATCTGTATTAGAGACTGAGCTATTGGGAATTTGTAATTTCCATTTTCTTCACTTGGAACTGTTGTGGTCCACGCCAGGGGTGAAATGTAAAATTTGTTACTACCGGTTCTGTGGGCGTGGCTTGATGGGGGGCAGGGATAATGTGACTGGGTGGGCGTGGCCAACTTTTTTTTTTTTTTTAACTTTTCAAAGCATTTTTTCCAATGCTTTGAAAAGCCTCTCTGCCGATCAGGCAACTCAGCTGGGATCGTCAGAGACTTTTCAAAGCATTTTTTAACCACCTCTTCGGCCAAGAGGTTGCAGAAAAAAATGCTTTGAAAAGCCTTTGACGATCCCAGCTGAACCGTGCGATCATCAGAGGCTTTTTTTTTTACTTTTAAAAGCATTTTTTCATCAGAAGAGGTTGTAGAAAAAATGCTTTTAAAAGTTTTTTAAAAAAGCTTCTGATGATCGTGTGGCTCAGCTGGGCATGGGGAGGGAAGGGGACAGGGATTTTTGCTACCGGTTCTCCGAACCACCCGCCTCCATCGCTACCGGATCGGGCGATCCGGTCCGAACCGGGAGCATTTCACCCCTGGTTATGAGCCACTTTTTAAAATGCTGGTGTAACTTGGAACAGTGACTAAACAAATTGTTGTACGTCAAGAACTATCAGTATTAGAGACTGAGCTATTGGGAATTTGTAATTTCCATTTTCTCCACTTGGAACTGTTGGGGTCCACGGTCTTTGCCATCAGCATAGGCAAGTAGGACTTGTCTTTTAAAATAACTGGAGAACTCTGGATAGGGCAAAGGGATTTAGATTAAACAAAGTGACATCAATCAACAGTGAAATCAAAACTCTCTCCTCCAGAGGGGAGGAGAAGAAAAAAAAATCACCTTAGCTCATTTGATAGGAATAGCTCCAGTTCCTGAAACTTTCATATGGAAATAAAATGAGATGTGCTTCTAGAAAGGGAATGTAGACATAAAATCTCCCTCTCCTCCTCCCCCCCAAAAAAAGGCATTATCAGAACGGTTTTGAACTTTGAGGATATAATGTAGTCACATCAAAAGGCATAGCGAAGCCCGTCAGAGAGATCAATCATCTTTAGTCATTAAAGGCAAAATAAATATTCAGCTCCTTTCTGATATTTTTTTTCCAGAGATGGCTGTGATTATTTAAAAAAACTTTTTTTAAAAAAGGCCACTGCCTTTGCAGTTCAGGTCAAAAACCACTTGGGGAATAGTCAACGTTTTATTTAGCATGCACGCTACCATTTTTGTACAGCCTTCCTTGTGGGTGAACATGTATTTCTTTTTCATTTTATTCAGAGCAAGGGACTTGGGCAGTTTATGCTTTTATATGAAGGTATTGTGGAGACTGTGGAGCTGGCAGCAGAGTCGGACAGTGAGGGGAGGATCATGGGCCAGTCCTGGAGTCTGGGGAAGGCTCGGACGAAGGCTCTGCATCGGAGGCAGAGAAAGGGCCATCTGGGAGGTATGTGCTGCCTCCGGAGCCTCCAGATTCGGACCTCAGCAAGGCAGAGGAACAGGGGGAGCCTGTACCCAGTGTGCGCATGCGCAGAACTGCCAGAAGGCAAGAACAGCTAAAACAAAAGGGAAGACTCAGGAGTAAGGCTTGGAGATGATTGGCCTCTCCCATAAGACTTAAAAGAGAAGCAAAGGCACGTGGGCCCTTTGCAGGAAAGCAACGTTGTTAATTCTGTTTCTAGTCGGCATCTCTCTTTGATTCTGGACTCCGTGTGGCTTTGCCAATTAGGTCTTTGGCAGCGTGTCAAGGGAGATAAAGGTGGGTGATTATCCCGAAGGACTTTTCCGGAAGGACACTTTATAACTAATTGGGACTCCACTGTGAATGAACAGAATTCACAGCTGTTGCCATAAAAAAGGTTTTTGGGACGACTCTTGTGTTTTAATGACTCAGGAAGCCTAGGTCAGAACAGAAGGTGCTCATCCAGTGGGAAAGGCAGAAGGAACAAGGAGGCAAATGGGAGTCCTTGACTTGAGCCCAACATTTCCGTCGCTAAGCACGACAGTTGTTGAATGAGTTTTGCCCCGTTTTACGACCTTTCCGGCCACAGCTGTTATGTGAATCAGTGCAGTTGTTACATTAGTAACATGGTGGTTGTTAATGAATCTAGCTTCCTCATGGGCTTTGCTTGTTAGAAGGGGATCACGTGACCTTGGGACACAGCAACAATCATAAATATGAATTTTGATCACATGACTTTGCTTGTCAGAAATTCGCAAAAGGTGAACATGTGACGCTGGGGACACTGCAGCCGTCACACATACATGCCGGTTGCCAACTGCCCGAATTTTGATCAGGCGTGAAAAACAGTCATAAGTTCCTTTTCTTAGGACCGTCGCAACTTCAAACCGTCACTCAACGAATGTTTGCACCTGTCTACTCTTTAAAATGATCCCAAGGAAAACCTGGAAAAGCTTCTGTCTTCAGGAGGCAACACATTGAAAGAGCATCGATGGAATGGCAAGCTGGGCTGGAGAATTATGCCCAGAATGAAAACTCATTACGGTTTAATTGTGTCTGTTTGTAAGAGCGGCTAAGAGTTCAACCAGGAAGAAAAGATGAGCAAGCAAGACTGCGTCACTCCCTGGAAGAGAAACACAACGGGGAGAATTTTCAGTGGGAAACCTTACAACCCGCACACAAATACAACGATTGGACTTTTTCCCCAAACTGGTTATTATACAGATTCAGATGAGTAAACAGAATCAGTCATTCTCCGGACTTGTAAAAGCCTCTGCTTTAATTAGCAACACAATGCACGATGCAATTTCCTCCTCCCTCTTCCCCCCCTTTTTTTTTTCATCTAAAATGCCTGTGGCGAGTGCTTCCATTCAAAAAAAAAGTCACAGGGATTCTTTAAAACTTGGTTCTCTGTTAATTCGCTGAAGGGCCACTACATACAAGATCCATACATGGGAGATGCATTTGTCTGAAATGGTATAGGGCGGGTGTCAGCAACCTGCGGCTCCGGAGCTGCATGCGGCTCTTTGGGCCCTCTGCTGTGGCTCCCTGTCCGGTGATCCCACTGCTGGCTGGCCCTGCCCCTTACCCTCCCCTCCCAGCCACTCCTCGCTTGGCCTGAGAAGGTAAGAGTGATGGTGGGGGATGGAGAAGCAGCCGGGACAGAGACAAAGAGATATAGAGAGAGAGGGAGAGAGAGGGGGGAGAGAGGGAGGAGGGAGGGAGGGAGATCAAAAGAGTTTTGTGGTTCCCCGTGTTTTTTAACAACTGCCCTAATGACTGGCTGGGTAGGCGTGGCTAGGGGGTCATGTGACTGGTGGAAGTGGGTGACGTCAAGTTGGCCATGCTCACTCAGGTTTTGTGACTCCCGGTGTTTTCTTTTCTGTGGGAAACGGATCCAAATGGTTCTTTGAGTGCTTAAGGTTGCAGACCCCTGGCGTAGAGTCTTCTGCTAGAGGTTGGGAGTTGAACTAGAAGACCTCCAAAGTCCTTTCCAACTCTGATGATGTTCTATGTTCCAAGAATAGCTTCTGTTGGTTTTCCTTAAAAGGAACTGACCTGAAATAGGATCTCACCCAAGGAACACAGCAAGAGGAGACACGTGCATTCACACAAACCACCCAGGCCATAGTCCAGAAGTCATTTGGGTTGGTAGTTGAGAACAGATGATGAGTTGGGGGCTACCCCAAAACCTAGGTACCATCCATGGCCTTCCAGTTCTCCATACCTGCTGTCCAATGGGAGATCCGGAGATAATCGATCTTAAGTGCTTCTAGGCCCTCTGTTTCATTCTGTTCATCCAGATGTGAAACATTTAATCTTTTTCTGTCAGATGTTTTATCGGAAGCCGATTCCCTTGACCAGTCCGGTATTTGCTATCCTGAGGAAAATGCCGAACGGCAGCATTTATCATCATTCATATTTCATTTGTGCCTTGAAACAGCTGGAGCCATGTCCAAATTGAGCCAACATTGAATAAACTCTTTGTAGTGGCTCCTGAGGAATCTTTCCGTCCCGCTGAGGCCGTGCTCGGAGCGTAAACCCCGATTCAGCAAAATTGCTCAATGGGAAAGAGCCATGTCTGCTGCTCATTTCTTTTTCTTTCTTTTTTTTTAAACTCTCTACTGCATCTCACAAGCGCCTCCAGTCATCTGTTTCTATTGCATAATATATAATTTAAATGACAATTCAGAATTTGGACCAGATGGATGTCTAACTCAAATTCACAAATATGTTTCCTAAGAGCAAAAACTATTAATAATCTAAAGGGTATGCTTTGAAAA